TGAGGCAGGGTTTTTCACACCAGAAATGTGACGGATGTCCGACGTGAATTGCGAAATATAGTCTAGATGACGTAATTCACGCGATGAATATCTGTCGGTGGCGGTATGTAAGGCGTAAGTCAAAGGACTGTGGTCGGTAAAGATGATGAAATCACGACCTTCCACAAAGTGACGAAAATGCTTAACGGAGGCATATGTGGCAAGCAATTCCCGGCAAAAGGTGCTGTGCCGCATTTCGCAGGTGGATAGCGTCCAGGAGAAGAATGCAACTGGGATCCAAGTGTGATCCAGAAATTGTTGCAACGCGGCTCCATTGGCAGTGTTAGAGACATCAACCGCAATGCTAAGAGGCAGGTTTACGTCCTGATGCAACAACATCGTGGCATCTGCTATTGCGGTTTTGATCTTGCGAAATGCGCCTCGTGCCTCCGGAGTCATGCTGAAAGTTTTGCATTTACTTTTCAGCAGGTTGGTCAGCTCAGTCAAAATGTGAGCACACTGAGAGACAAAACAGCGATAATGGCTCACCATCCCCAGAAATGCACGCAGAGCTTTGAGTGACATTGGGACTGGAAAGTGTTGGATCGCCTCTACTTTTTCAGGTAGTGGGCGAATGACTTGCTCGTCAATAACATGTCCCAAAAATTTCAGTGATTGAACGCCAATCTGTCATTTAGCCAGGTTGACTGACATCGAATGCTCTGATAGTCTGGCAAAGGCCTGCTTCAAGTGGTTAAAATGAGTGTCTTCATCTGGACTAACGATTGGTATGTCGTCTAAATAGGCATAGGCGAAGTCTTATCCACGTAAAACATCGTGAATAAAACGTTGGAAAGTTTGTGCGGTGTTGCGAAGACCAAAGGGCATGCGAAGAACCTCAAAGAGACCTAATGATGTAATGACGGCTGTCTTGGGAACATCATCAGGATGAACCGGGATCTGATGATATGCAAGCGTCAAGTTTACTGAAGATAAACGAGCCTTTTCAAGATGCGGTCAAGTCGTGTATGTGAGGGGCTGGGTAACGATCTGGAATCGTCTTAGCGTTGAGCCTTAGGTAGTCACCACAAGGCCTCCAGTCCATACCATTGTTCTTGGGTACCACATGCAAGGGTGAAGACCATGGACTGTTGGATGGTCTGATCATTCTCATTTCGAGCAAGTGTTCAAACTCAGCTTTTACAGCTCACAGTTTCTCCGGGGATAATCGCCATGGTTTAGCAAACACTGGCGGGCCAGTCGTCGTTATGTGATGAGAAACCTTCGAAGTCACACAAGGTACACAACGACTTGGCTTAAAGACATCCGGAAAGGACTGAATAATAGACGCATAGGGACTAGAAGCGTCCGTCATGCAGTACACGGGACTGAGGGGTGGTGTCTTTGTGACAATACCGGAGACAGAAAATCTTGTGGTAGAATCTATCAACTTATGCTTACCAGCATCTACCAGCAGTTGATAGTGCTGTGAGAGATGCATACCAATAATACCGGTGGTCACATCAGCCATTATGAAAGCCCAACGGAAGGAACGACGCAGTTCAAGGTTGGGGTCGATGGGCGAACCATTGGCGGTGCGAAGTTGCAGAGACATTGGCCGCAGACGCTCTTCACTCGTAGGTGGGATGACGCTAGCTTCCGCCCCAGTGTCAACCAGCAAGCGTATCCCAGAGTGTTAATCCGTGATGAAGAATAGGCGACATGGAAATGGTTAGCCAGCGACGTTAGTCGGCATTACATGCTGGCTCACACGTTTCCCGTCTGGTTAGCCTCGAAGGTGCAAGGTCGAGTGCACCTTTTGGCATTGGCACCATAACGTTTAAGGTACCAGCACAACCTTGGTTGGGATTGTCGCTATTTGGAACGCCTGCTACCAGTACGGGAGTCAGATCTATTGCACGAGCGAGACGTGCGATCGTTGGAAGAAGTACTAGACTGCATTTCTTTCCTGATACTGCACAATTCTTCATACAGTTTCGAGATCTGAGCTATAGCGTTGAAACTTGCCGGCTCACTTACTGAGGGAGGTTATGAGTTTTTGGACAATTCAATGGCAGTAGACAATGCAGCTGAGATACTGGTGTTGGGCTTCGTAGCGTCCACAGATCTGTCAGCCGCTTCCACCAGTTCTATTAAGAGGAACTTATGAAAAGGTGCTAGGATTCCTTGCACTGTCTGTCGTAACCTCTGTAATCACAGTTGCTTGAGAAATGCTTCGTCAATATTAAAGTCTGCAACCAATCGCTTTATCTGAGAAAGCAGTCTCATGGGCTTACGATCACTAAGATGCACCTTCCTGGAAAGTTCTTGCATTTTCTGCTGCTCAGTAAGTGCAACGCGTTTGATGAGGGCGGTTTTGAGGCGATCGTACAGGTTTGGTGCTTGGTCGTCTAGCACGTCTGAGATATCTTCGATCACATTTTTCGATAAGCTGACGATAACTAAGTTGGACTTAGTTTCTTGTGAGTGAATATGTCTCAAGGCAAATTGAGCTTCCACGTAGGAGAACCAGGCGGATGATCTATGGGCTCAGAAGGTTGGAAGCTGAAGGGTGATGGCCATCTGCGCAGCCGAGTTGTTGTCAGCCATTGATAAGGGGTTTAACAAGGTACGATACTGATCATAAAAAAGTTACAGTGTAAAAATAACCAACGAGGAATACAACAAAAGAACAGAAAACCGTTACAATAACAAAAGTAGGCCGAATAAATCAACGCAGGATGAGAAAAAAGTACTAGGCAAAGTAAGAAGTGATACTCGGGCTCATCAATTGTAGGAGGTGTGTGTTACTATTCCGTAAGGTTTGATCAACCCTACTTAACTTAATGTGCTCTAGTTCCTGCTTAACCAGTACCTTACCTAACGTGTAAGTACTGATAACGAAACACAAACCAGAAGAACTGGTTCGGGAATATATTTGAAGAAGTAATGTATTTAATTAGAGTAAATGTAATAATAGTGAATGGGGGAAAAGTTTATTCAACTTATCTGGCTAGTATGGCTGAGCCTGCTCGGATGCATCCTCGTTAAAACAAAACTTGAAACACCCTAAGCATCCGGAGGCGAGCTAGAGGTTTATTTAGTTAATTTAATTTAATCTATTTATTTCAGCCCTAGTTGTATTTTGGTACCAGGAAGGTGTACTACAATGACTTACTAATGTCCTTTTGATTATTTCCGTCTTCCTTAGATTTAAGCAATAGAATGGGCACTTATTTCCATTTTGATTGATTTCTTCGATGCATCACACAGTGGGATAGTATAAGTTACTGGAGTACATTTGGAACATAATTTATTGTCCACAGTCATCTCAAGGTGAAACGTAACCAAGCATATAACACTTTTTCTGGGCGAAACATCTAAGAAATTGACGAAAATGGAATTACATTCTACTTCAGTGCCCAAGTTCTACACCAGTGGTAAAGAATTGACTAGCGATATCGGAAAATCCTGTTTTAAGCAACCTTTTAATTCCACCCAGTACTTTGCATGATTATGGTGAATATTTTATACTATATCAAAAGTTCATTCGAAGATGTTACTTTAAGTTATTTACTGAGCTTACTCCACCATATTTTTTTCGGAGTTCGACTTCATTTCAACAATGTAACTTTCAAAAATGAAAAACGTTTCGATACATCCATTTCCACTAACCTCTCCATATTGTTGGTGTATATATACTTCCTCTTTTCATATGCACATAATATAGGCCATATGAATCGCGAAAAACGTCGCAGAAACGTCATCTGTTATGAAAGCACTCACTCTACACATACTCTTCTAATACTATCTTTAAAGAACTTCGGAAATCCACCAAAGACTTCGGGTGTTTCATTAATTATGAAAGTAATACCAGTGGAAATAGCCATAAAATTTATGTTGGAGGCTACAAACTTGTAAAGAAAGAGATCCTCAATATTTGTCTTTTAGGTTCCATTGAGGCTAACGAGATCAAGAAAACTGTCTGCAAACTTCTGTTGGTCCACTACAGCAAAGAAAAAACACTTAACATCTCCATCTCCATTGAGAGAGAAGGATGCTAGTCTACTGGGATCAATTTATGCTCCTGTAAAGTATATTTCACCAACCGGTAAAATTACACTCAGCGAAGAGGTGATGACATATACTTAACACATCTTGATTATTCAACCACTTGTGTACGTAAACCAGATTAAGAGCGTTAACTGCAGCCGTGTCAGATACCATTAACGGGCCTTGTGTTTTCCATTTCACCGCCCATCAAATTTCTAGTCCAGTGGCTGTTACCATAAACCGGTGAGCTAATGGCTGTGAATCAACAGCCCCCAAGTTACTGCCCTAAAACCGTCGACAAATGAAGGTTTCTTTCTTATCAGTGCGCCTTCCACTGATCGACATTGATTAGCATCCCAACATACAAACTTTACGTCGTCAGTCATCTTGAAAATAGTGTAGTGTTTGCAGGTTTGTTTCTTATACTGATTTTAATGAAGAAATTGGAACGAGCTAAGACACCCTCCATAAACATGAATTAGTTTTCACTTACATTCTTTTTGAATGGTGCTGCTGCTCACGATTGAAGTTAGATATTCTTTTATCGATGTATGCTGTTATACATAGTTTTTCAATTTTACTCTATCAGTCAGGTGGCCTGATTCTTCATCGATTTTGCCTGGTTCATAAATTAGATGGGTATTAAGAGTGAGGGTTTAGGAAAAACCCGTAAAGCATTTTATTCCTACACCTATTGAATTAGGCTGCCCTGTTAGAGACGTAAATCAACATTTTAACGAAATTATAATATTCACCTACCTTTTTTAGCTAAAGCTTAAAAGTGATTGGAGGAATCAGAACACAGAAAAACACTTTGATTTTACCAATTCAGTACTACAGAATAGTTGATTAATTCAGTAGTCAGAAAAATTGAAGTGTTAAAATGGTTAAATGCATTTTGATCAGAAAATGCACTATACGTTACTATTTTTGTAAAAAGTCCCCTACTTTTTGTTTCTATCGAAAAGGGATGCATTAGTTGTGGCAGCGATTAATTCGTTAACAAGTTTATTATCTGGATTTGTGGTATTCACATTACTCGGTTACATGGCATATAAACGCAAAGCACGTGTGTTAGATGTGATACAAGATGGTGAGTTTATTTCTTTTTCCCTTGTCCTCAGCCATAACTTCTAATTTACGCTATATTTCATGGCTTATACTTATTTATGTCTGTGTGCATAAAACACCGTCTGTTGACAAATTTATTGTATATCTGCTAAGTTGATTCGAGGCTAAGCAGGGATTATATACTGTCAAATTACCTGCACTTTATTTGAACCATGAAGTTGTCATCATTTAACTTTTTTCAAAGCCATATTAAGATTATTAATACCAACCAAGTGTTAGGAGTCAGGTAAATTGGAGTCAATTCACATCCCTTCACTTTCATATCTTTGTGTCACATGCATAGAGTGTTCACTGCTGACCATGAACAATTAATTAAAAACCTAAATACTTCTTGATTACCAGTGCAGGTTTATTGACGGACATTAAAAAGTCTCTCCTATTTAGATTGCTTGTTGGCACAAATAAACAAATTGTTATTCCAAAAAGTTTTCAAAATTTGAAGTTACACTGGTTTGTGCCCCAGTTATAACCCTGCTACTAAGATCCTGGAAGACTAAGTTAATAACAGCCTATTGCCAAGTGTCAATCACTGTTTTCTGATTACTAATACTATTCTAACATTCGGTTCGCTAAGTGGTATTTGACTCAAATTCTGGCTCAAAACCACTTGTAGCTTAACGTGAAACTGTTACCTTTCTGGGTTATGGTGTATTTTTTGGTTACGTAATTCGTTATCTTCAAAACTGTATCCGTTCATAAAATAATGGGAAATGATTTTCATTCTGACTAATAATTTACCTAACTTATATCTGCTAAAAACAGGTCAAGAAGGTAGAATTTATTTAGTGTTTCTCTCGAAATTGTTTGATGAGGCATTTAATGCAATTCTGTAGAAAATCGTCTATAATACCCTGAAAAAGTGGACTGAGAGATATCCAGAAAGAATATGCCGATTTGCCCCCACTGATCTTCTTTTTCAAGTTTGTGATTTCATTATCATATATGTAATACAGCGGGAAGTATGCCAAACATAAAGCTACATTTGAGGTTCTTCACACTCTGAGATAAACGTTTTTCTGAATTTATTACAATAATCTTATTGGAAATATCCAGAAGAACCGAAAAGTTGTTTCTTTATAGCAACAGAATCAAATAATCACAGGTTGGACTTGATCTTGTGATGTCAGTAGGCCATATGTGTATGTCAACTCAGTGAAGCAAATAAAATAGGCTTGAAGCGTTAGTCAATCAACGTGGTCTATTTGACTAATACTTTAAGAACTTAAAACGTACGTAGTGGTTACCTGATGTCATCGTAGTGCGCAACAATTTTGTATTTAAAATCTAATACAGTTACTTCCTTGGATAAATTTGAACAAAACTAGAACAAAGATATTTGTAGAGTAAAATGCGTACATTTTATTTCATGGCTTCTCATCATCTGCAAATCAAAGTAGTGATCATAATCAGCAAATGAATAATAGTCGTTAAAACTATCTGAGATAGCCTTGGTTTAGTGGACTTATGTTATTGGTGTTGAGTAATGGTATAAGCTGAAATAAAAACCTGGGTTGTGGTAAGATTCAAAATAAATCACCACCCCACATGAACATATATATATATAGCACGTCAAACGGTTTTCGACAAAGGTTACGTTCAAAACTCACGGTTCACCAACAGACGAAGAAAATACAGAAACAAAAAAGCAGTAAAATAAGCAAAATGAAGGTATGTATGCAAATATCACATGAAATGATTTTCACTCATTGGTTAGAATTCATTCTTAATTTTCTGATATATTAGTTTGTTACGTATCTTCTTTCTTTCTTCTTGATCGTTGCACGTTTTATCATGTAATACGCTTATATAAATAATCACTTTGGCTAGTTATTTCACTGCCATCTTGTCCACGTATTTCCTTGATCTGTTGGCGCATCGAGAATTTAGGGTTTGATCTTTGCCCAAAGCAGTTAAATATTTACTTGTTGGTTGAAGATAATTTTTATTATTTCAGACTGTCCGCAACTGATGAGAAGTCGTGAAGTATATTGCATGCATTTTATTCTGCAAGTATCTTTTTTTCTTTGTTCAAAATTATAATAGTATCTGTTCCGTTGCGTCTCCTTCAAGTTCAATATTCATATACCTTGAATGCTTATAGGGCTGTCTTCTCTATCGACAAAACCTTATTCCATGATATCTAGCACTAGATATCACTTACTTTGCTCAACTGTGGTTTTTTCATCAATGACTTGTAATACACTCTGAGAGCTATGCTTTCAGCTTTCTAAATGGTGAAGAACGCTTAGTGCATACTCAGGTGTCATTTCTTAGGTTATCAAAGTGAAACTTATAAGGTAGCTGGATGCAGAAGTAGCCAATTTTAGATCTACGTCTCATATTTGTTGGTAGTCGTCAGAGAAGTGTGTCTGCACTTTTATAAGAAAGGAAATGCCCTCAGATCTTAGGTTATGTCCGAACTCTACCGATAAGAACTTATAAAAAGGTTAGTCTTCCATGAGAATTACTGCATATGAGTGAGTCCTACAGAAGGATATGATGTTGAAGTCTGTTACTGTAACACTGGAGAACTAGAGCTCTAATTTCTCAGCGGTCATCATTTTTGTCGAGATTGCAGAGGCGTCCTGCTGACAAGTACCAACAAGCATGAAACTTAAATACAGGACTTCCGTCCGACTGACTTTTGCCACTCAACATCCATCATTCAAGTTGCTCTGTGACCGAATTTCAAAATGATCGACATAATTCTTTCAACTGACATGAAATTGGTTATTTTTCAAAGACCATTTTGTGTAAAATGAATACTGAAATGAAGTAGTAATTTGTCTAAAATATTTGACCTACTTGTGAGTAGCATAAATTGTAGCGCCAAATTCCACAACAAAAGCTATCAGAAATTGGTCTCCAAGAAAAAGTTAAAAGTAAACATTTCTGCAAACTGTCATAAATTTAACTCACTAGCCACAGCTCTCATTATCGTCCGTTGGTGTTAGTATGTATACAGGTTATCTAGAAGAGTAATTGCAGTTATGTATTTTCTCACATGTGAGATATATTATCGGACAGTTTTTTTTTTTACCTGAGTGGCTTAACAACAGATTGCAATTTATATATACTATTGATTCAGTTATTTATGAATACATTGATCTTCAACGCAATGTGTAAAATACCTATCTGCTTTCATTATTTGTTCTTTAGATCCAGTGTTAGTATTCAGTGTCTATCCAGAAGCATTGTCTACTTTACCTGGTTCAACATTTCTGTCGATCTGCTTCTTCCTGATGTTACTGACCTTGGGATTAGACAGTTCAGTACGTTTGTGATGGATTTAACTCAAATCATTTGCTTGATTCTCTTATAATGAATGGAGTTTTTAACGATATGAAACGTATGAAATATTCAGCTATTCAGAAGCTTAAATTGTTTGAAAATAGTTTTTATTTCAAACTGAAATCAATGATAAAATCAGTGAGGATAGAGGAGGAGTGAATAACCGTCCAGTCCTAATGATTGTCTCTAGATTCAGACCGAACGCATTCACTTTTCTCATGAAACAAGTGAATCATATTTTGACCCTATTTACAGCAGAAATTTGACTTTACGCTGTTTGAGATATAGTGAAGTCTTCTTATGAGACAGTAGGTGAATATTCTTGCACAGTAAAGAAACAGTTAGCTAGCTAAAAATGTTTATTCGCCATGGTAAACTGAATGAGGACTTCTAGTCTAAAGCAACCAGCTTGTTACAAGTATCGAAATTGTGTTCGAAGGACTCTAACTAGTTATACGCACACTGCATAGCCTACAGAATTACTACTCATACTTTCATGTAACAAAGTGCTTCCTGATGAATGGGAAAGTGACTTGTAGGTTTTTAATATTAGATACCTTTTATATCACCTATTCTGCTATCAAAACAATTTTGTACATTGGAATAATCACTTGTATGTTGCACTGTTATGAAAAACGAACATAATTTTTCGGTTGAATACTATTTTCAGCTATACTTTCACTCTATAGTTGATATTGTTTATCCGAAACAACTAACAAAAAGGAATGTATTGTTGTCAGTGCAATATATATGTGAATAGCTTTAGTCTTTTTAATGAAGAAAGAAATCATATGATGATTGATTGTTGTAACTAAATGAACCAGGAATAACAAAACTTATCGCGAAAAGAAGTGAGCATAAACAACATAAAAAATACCACAAACTGTTAAACAAACTTGATCGGTTTTCAGTTAAATATTCAAAAAAGGTCATTATTTTTTACTCACTGGACAATTTCAGTACTTTTCTTTGAAAACTAAGCACTTAAACAAAATAGGTTTGTAGATGAAATGGGAGTTATGATTGTTTTATGCTGCCTACTCTGTCATATTCAATTGTGGATGTAATAAAATTAGGTTTATGGGATTGATACGCATAAGCTTCATGAAGAGGTGAAGTATGTCAAAAATAGATGAATATCCATCTAATAGAGGAATAGCGTTTAATTATAACAGATTTTTAGACGAAGTTTAAGTTCCTACTATCCCGCAGCAACCGTATCCAAACTCACCTTTGAAAAAACTATTAGGCCGATTCAAACTAAACATTCAGTTAGACATCTGCTTTGCACTACTTTTATTTTTCATGAAAATTAGTGCAGCATAAAATAGCACTAGCTTATACTTTTAAATACCAAAATATACCAGCCCACTGATAAGTAATTTACCTTGGAGTTATCGAGACATCGCTTTGTATTTCGAGCACTAGATATCTCCCAATTCTTCTTCGGAAACCCGCACATATCCGAGTATAACTGCACTTTAAGACAAAGACAAGATTCTAGGGGCTCACAACCATTGCGTCAATACATCCTATAGTGAACCGCAAAGTTCATAACATCTTCAAAACTGTCTTACTCTACATAAATTGAGATATATATCACTTTGATGAACTCTTTTGGTGATTTCATTCAGTTCGGTGGTTCTGAAGCCGTTATCACAGCGTTGGGTGATGAATATCCTATACTTGCAAATCACAGAGAATTATTTGTGCTTGGTTTATTTACATTCTATATTGGAATTGGAGCTCTGGAGTCAACTCAAGTAAGTTATGCTTTACATAGTCTACGTTTAATTTGTAAATTTTATCCCTTATGTTTTAGGCTAGACGGCAGAAAGTTGCATCTTTGCTACTTCCAAAGTGAAATACTTTTCGAGCTCTCGTTGTGAATTTCTGTCAGTGTTTAATTAATAGTTGATGCTTTCGATTTTATGCATTTTCACTCATTTAATAATGAATCTTGGAGCCGTATCTGTGATAAGTTTTTGGCAAGGAATCTCATCAAAAGATTCGAGTTTGCGTTAGCTGATGTCTTGACCATAGAAGTGAAACATAACTAGAGTGCTGCAATGGCTACTATCTTACTTATCAACTTGTATACATACGAATCCACAGAGAAATCCTTTAGGCGATTTCAGCTATAATTTCTTCTTTTTGATTTTGACACTGCTCGATGCAGATATCACAGTGCACACAATTCAGGAGGCAATTGGATAACACAAGTTTAGACAGACATCTAGACACTTAATGTCAAATGGTAGGAGTTATGAATTTACCGGCTGACATTAAACGTATGACTTCAAAAAAGTGTACAGCAGTATCGTGTCACCAAGTGTAATATTCATAGAATATTAATTAGGTGATCAACTTTGTTGAAAACCTATAACTCAAGTATATATTATTTTACCACAAAGAGAAAAATTAGTGAATAGGAGTTCCACAGGGTGGGACTGAAATGCTCAACAAACCTCGATGTAAAAACATCTATCTAGCATTATTCCATTTATCCACTCCGTGATTATTTTCTTTCATACCAATCCACACCTCTTCACGGCAAGCTCAGTATACCGTAAGTAGCCTAATAAGTTTATGCCAGGGATAATACTCAAAGCACCAGCATAAATGCGACAGTTTTCAAAACAATCAGCTTAAACGCCAATTCCTCGAAATTAGTTGTCTCATATTCAAGTATTACGAACATGATGAAAACTGAAATTGATTCTCGTGACCTCTCGGTTGTGCTAACCATCAAACCGTCTAATCACACTTAGAAGTTACACATTTTCTTATGAAGCTGGAACTGCGGTAGAAAATGAAGAAAGTAGATGAATGAAATAGCCATCCTAAAAGTGAACCTTTTGTTCAAATAGCCTATAAGGTAGTGTCCTTTTTGAGATAAAATCTGCTAGATGTAGAGAAACCCTGGTGACAGCTTGGTGATCTAATGTGATGCTGCATATATGAAAAATGTAGCAAATAAAGCAGAAAACAACAACTTGAAAGCCATTCTAGTTCTCTTAAAGTACATATCTCAGGGTACGAATGGCACTGAATAGGAGAGTATTTACTCTTTGGTTTTACCATTGACATAACTTTCTTAACCTGACTAAATCATATCATAATATGTCGTTATTGAACAATTTGAGTAGTTGGAAAGCACTCCGGCTGATCTGCAGACTTCGCCACCTAGAGTAGAATGATCTAAGCACCGGACGTCCATTTCGTTGGAAACCCCGATGACACCACAGTTGGGCGGATGAAAAACTACTCAACTGAGAGAAACATCAACGTAGGCCATGTGATTTGTAAATTATTTGCAAATTGATCACCCTAAGCTTAATTACAGTCTAAGTTTCATTTTCCCCTTGAGTCAAGTGTAAATATCAAAACTTTTAATTAGCTTCCGTGAACGGAAGAATTTCAAGTTATTTTATTTTATGGTTATGATCAAAGTGGGGCTTCTGCTTCTTCTTGGCGTGTTAAATATGAATTTATTTTTCAATTTACTTCCCTTAATCTATCTATTGCTGAAGTGGGGTGATGGAATAACCAAGGTTTGTTAATCTACATCATAGAAAGTCATGATGTAAAGGTGTTATATGTACAGCCAAAAAGTGTTCCAGAACTTACGCTATAGCCTGATGAAGATTCAAATGAGACTGGACTTTGAGATTCTAGATAAAATTGACATACATACTTTTTTATACATGTGCAATAAACAGTTTAGTGTGGTAAGCTAAATACAGTCGGCAATGAAAATACAATACAGTTCTAGTAAGGTTCAAAGTTATATCATTTCAAAGTGGGCGAAACGTGAAACTATATGCAGATTAGAAATGTAACCTAAACAGAAGTCTGATTATCTTTAACGTCTTGTAGATGGATGGATAAATCTGTTTACGAGTACTGCAGTGTCAACCGGCTTGAATTTAACTCTATCACTGGTTTTATCATATTGAAGTAAAAAGTAATCATTTGGTAAAGCTGTAATAGAAATACGACCAATGAATATGCTAAGGATGTTAATCGACTTTTCTTAGATTAACGTAATTTTTCGCTATAGTGACTGAACCATTAGGCTACTCGTTTCGCCGTAATACTTTTGTAAAATAATTACATAAAGTAACTTTCAACAAACTACAAAGTATATCAATGTAAATTCCAACCTAGCAACAGGTGAAATTGTATGACTTTCACTTTACCTATCAATTTCACATTTTAGGCTTATGAAAATGCATTTCAGTCAAGCATAACAATGAAATACGTATGTCTTCCGCGATGCAGGACTTCAACAGTGCTGTTTAAACCTCTCCGTTTACAGCAATTCTCTTATCTTGATTCTGGAATGAGATCAAACTTTATGAAACCTTCATTCATAATTAACCATTTCAAATAACATAAATTGTTTCTGCGAAGATATCATGCAAAATAAGTATAAGAATTTACAAAGGTAACCCTAAACCCTTTATTCAGCCAAAATAACTGTTGGACGTTAAAGAACTTTCAATTCGAAAGAGATAACACGCTGATTAGTGGATTGAAAGATTTCAAAAGTTCTCTCTCTAGCTCTTGGTTATGAGCTTCACTTTATTTCTAAGATCAATAGAGGTATACCAAACACTTACTGTACAAATTAATAAGTAAAACTCTTCGAAACTTTGTTGTTGACTGTAATTCAGATGACTCAATATCTGTTTCTCTCATATAGCGAACCACTTACAATTTCTTTAAATAGGATAAGTTTGTTAAGTAATATCTATATTTTCTTCATTAACTAAACTCAAATATTTCCTCTCCGTATTCACTCTCATATTTTCCTCAGGGTGGTATTTACTGGTTCCATTTATTTGAAAGGACATGTGTGGAGTATCCAATCCTATTGGCAGTATTTTGTGAAACAGTTTGTGTAGCCTGGATATATGGTAAAATGAAATTATTATTATTATAACAAAATCTTTATCCCTTCTTTTTTTCACAATCATAATCATGATAGGAGTTGATCGTTTTCGTCAAAATATCAAACAAATGTTAGGCTTTGAACCAGGAATATTCTGGAAAATCTGTTGGAAATTCATTGCGCCAATTTTCATTTTGGTTTGTTCAAATTTTCAGCTTTTTATCTTTGTTATTCAATGGGTTCAACAAAAATAGTTTATTATTAGCATTCGATTTTCAACTAGTAGATCTCAGGTTCCAACCTTGTTTCGGTCAGCTTAACCTCAGCAATATGATAGCGGCATAAGTTCTAATATGGTAATAATGATTTATAACTGTGCTGAGTCCGAATAATCACTGATGTACCATATAATCTACCTTTTGACACAAAAGTTAATAATACACATTACATTGCAACAAAGCCACCTACTTGTCGTAAATTAACCTGACCAAAAATAATACATAACGGTTATCCATTTATTGCTGCCATTCAACTATTACTGTTCATCTTAGCACCACAATAATGAGATAGAAGGTAGTTTACAACACGAAGAACAAATAACAAAACATTTCATAAAATATACACAATTTCTTCTCATGCTACATAACCTATGAACAAAAGCCGACGTGGACTGGTTTAGTAAAGTGGTTATGGTTTGACCGGTCGTGAAAGTGAGGCAATAAAATAGGAAGATGAAGAAAGACTCAGGCTGAAACAATAGTTTACAAGAATCTTCAAGTAACATGAAGCTACTTTACGATAAATTTTCAGCCGATAAGCTAATGTCGTCAAATACTCTTATCTATCAGACTACAGGCCTCAGTTATATGTCATTAATTTCCTCAACTTATAAGCAGATAAATGATTCGTATAACATTTCAATCTCATAAACATAGGAATTTATTCATTCTTTATTTTGCGTTGAAGGGTTAAGATAGATTGCTTCTAAATATGCACAGCACACTGAAAGTCGTTTTGGTAGACACATCTATAAATCATTCATAAACGAATGACTAGGCCACCTAACTAGATTATGTTCCAGGTTCCCAGTTTAACAGACTGTCACGCTGCATGCGAGTTTGATAAAGATGCCCTTACTCAATATTTTTCATCAACATTAAACCTTGCTGATGAATATTTTTGTTTCAGTTCAACATTATCTATGGATTATCAAATTATCAACCTCTTCAACTTGGAGATTACACCTATCCATTATGGGCAAACATACTGGGTGGTATTTTTAGCGGTTCGGCCATTTTAACTATACCGCTTGTGGCTATCACTCAGATTTTGCAGACCGAAGGAACGCTAAAAGAGGTGAATTCTTAAAATTCTAATGACCTATGCTTCGTACTATCTTACAATCAATTCTGTTGTTACACATTTCAACTTGAATAATAATATTGCAATAGTGGCAAACACCTGAAATTGTAGATGATGCAAAAAAATTTCATGATTGAAGTTTTACTTAATAGGTATATGTAGGACACTGTTATCAGTCTGTTATAAATGATAATTTAAAAGTATGAATTAAGATGTCGTCAAAGGATTTACGTACATACAGTTCGTCTTCTCATCTTTGCAACCTCAGCGTCAATAGCTCTTTACTTCAAATCACTGGTTGTCCAGAATGTAATTAAGACTTACAGCTAAAATACTGTATAAATGTGTATTCAATATTTGGAGTCATTATCAATCGTTTTGAATGTAAACTTTGTAAGATAATCACATTTTCTGAGTGTTCAGAAAGTTCCTTATTCACTCAAATATTCTACTAAAGAAAATTAGTTGTTGGTTATACCTAATACAGTGTAGTAGCTGATTTACAACACAACGAAAGGTAGGTGGTTTTCATTCTGATTACAATGCACAGTCGACTGAAAGCATATCCTAATGCACTAAGCTAAGAGAATACAAATGTAAATGTATTTATTCAGCCTCACCAGATTTTAATAGAAACTGTAGTATTTGCGAACTACTTAAATATTTTTTTAATTAGTAGTTATTTTCTTTTTGAAATTTTTCTCTTCAGAGAATTCAAAAGCTTATCAAACCCTCAAAATTAATGGATATTCATGATCCATTCTTAATGAATGACCAAATTATTGATAGGAAAATGACATGTAGCTTTTCAGATTCATTCAACTCTTCAAACAATCACCAATTCTAAAAAAATCTAATTCGATGAATTCAATTCCACTCTGGTATAAAGACAGCACAGTTAAATAACATACATTTAAATTAATAAATCTTATATAAAATACATTTTACCTTTGAGTAAATTCCTCGAAAAAATTATTTAGTAATCACAAGAACCTATGTATTCTACTTATATTAGTAAAAGTAGTTTTATCAACGCTTTTATTCAAATACTACGTTAATTAAATTGCTTCGACTATATAACTACAATAATCGAGAAATGAAGCTTATAAAAATACATAAGTTCTTCTCAGAATTTTGATTTGTGACTTATATATTCTTAAGTTGGAGTTGTAAACCATGACCATACTGGCCATCTTCATCAAGTCCACAATTTTCAAGTCCAATAATAATAATAATAATTACAATGATCAGAAGATAAACTTGGAAGTGAAAACATATTTTCGGTAAATTCTTCTCAGACTTAACATTTACATTTGCGAATTATTCAGCATACTCTTCATCTGATACCAACATGGTTAGATTAATTCAGGTATATTAATTAGGAGATGACGATAAAGGCGATAAAACAAGCCTGGTGGTAGTGAGGACAAATACTCAATGATGATATTGGGTGGTGGTCGCGCTAATGTCGTGAACTGACAGAAATAGGAAGTATGGACCATTGGATTCCGACCCAGTTGCTTACTGGTAACGTGCGGGTCACAGAACCTGAAGGTCACGGGGTCAGTCCCCGGAGAGGTCGTGGGTGCGCACTGCTGAAAAGTCCCATACTAGGACGAAACACCTGTCCAGTGCTCCCAGTTTCCAGTGTTTCTCCAAATGATGTCAGTCCATGATGAATATCAACTTGATAGAGCAAAAACCAAATCTCGGAAAGTTTCTGTACTCTCAGTAGTCAATCCTTGTGGGGGTGTTAGTTGTGAATTGTGTGTGCAAGTGCACAGGGATAGAGGAAAACAAAATTATTGTCGCATACCTACTAGATAGTAAAACATTAAAATTCTTAATCAATTATGAAATTAAGGGCGAAAAATAAAATGATAATCATAAGAGTACAAATATAGATAATATTTACACATCCCAGTGACTGTGAAGGAATTTACTGTAATTGTATTTAGGTTGAAGGTGAAGGCCATTGAAGGGAAGAGGAACAAATAAACATCTGAATACATAAATTAGATTTGAAAACTTTAAATGTTATAGCTTCTGCTATGTTTAGCAATTGGAGGCGCACAAACTAAGAATATTGTGATGGGACTTTAAAACAATGGTAACAATAATAACAATATTATATACCTACTTCAGCTCACTAACCTACTGAAGAACTCCCGATTTCCTGAGCGATAACAGCTACGTTTTAGTTGCTCTGCGAACAACAACACTGGACAGTACGTGTTTCAAGCTACCAAATGCTAAATAGAATGAAACGTAACTCCTGGATTCTTCTGCTGTTCACGATCAGTTACCAAATGAGTGAAATCTCCGACAATATCAAAGTATGTACGCAAGGAACTCATATGGCAACAGTGGCTAACACACTGGAAATAAGTAAATTGAAAGCGCGAAATCACAAGAAATAATGTAAAATGCTATCGTGCTCCGGTTTACGATGCTACTCACTATTATCTTCGTTTATTATACAAGGACTCAGTTTCTGCCTCCCATACTTTCGAAGGCAGCATGATATTTCCGAAAGTCTAAAAATTTATAGTTTACATTGGTCAATCATACAGTGAATTGTTCTATTTCACTTTCAGAAATATACCCAAAGTTCCATTGATAAGACTGAAAAATCAAGTATCTAAGTTTCTTCACGAAGGTTTCATCACCACTCATTCTCAAATACGACCTCAGGACTTTAAATATGCACTAATAAACCGATTGTATAAATTTTAAGACTATGGCTAGTAAGTCTTAAATATGGTGACCTCATTTTAGCATACAGTGCGAAAGTGGTTGCTTACTTACAGTAATCAGTTTTTAAAAATGCTTTGAAACAGTTTATAAGGTGATCAGACTGGTTAGTAGCTTACAGTGGGATCCACGCAACGCACTTCGTCATATTTAGGACTCTTCAGCCGGATATACTTGCACTCAGTTCAAACTAACCAACAGTGTAAAATAGCAATTTTGACTTTCAGTTCATAAGATGCATTTGAACTCCCTGACTTAATTAAAAATGCTTAACTATACAGAGTAGAGTGAAACTGTCCGTTGATGTCACATTAGGTATAGTAGATTTTTCTCAAACCAGACGTAGGAAAATAAATTTAATTGAACCGTGTTTAAAACACTTTGCCAGCATCCATCAGCTATGCTATGAGTGAAAACTGATTAAACATTAGAATCCAACCACGGTCCAAATTCTCATTTCATCCTAAATTATCACCCAGTATCAATACTAGTCTGCCAAACCCCGACTATCTCAGACAATCAAAATGATAATTCACATGATGCTCCCCATCTCTAATTCAGTTAGATTTGGGTTGGGATGATAAGTCCTGAAAGGGCAGCCTGTGTAAGTACGATCAGGTGGTAGCAAAGCGTCACAAATTCATATGATAGTCAGTCAAAACCCTTGGTAATTAAGGTGAAATAAAAATCTGGTCAGCAGACGGGCCTTGGAGCTCAGTTGGTAGAGCACCGGGCCAGAAATCCAGCAGTCGCTTGTTTGGATCCCACCGCGGTCCGAACTTTCATCTAACGTCATATTCTCACCCACTATGAGCATCTGATTGACAAAATAAGAAAGATATGCTTATAAGAACTAAACAACCCAAGAAAAGGATTCCAGAACAATTAATATCAGGGAGAAATTTCTTAGGAAGAATATAATAATTGGAGAAAAACGCAAGTGACTCCTATCTGTGGCAAAATGGTACCATTTTTAAGTCTCCAATTAAAGTATGATAATCTGGAAAACGTTCTCATAAACATACTCTTACCAGCAGTTACTCTAAGTGATTCCTTTGCATCCATCTATATTTTATTATCACGAGTGAAAAAAAGGGTCTTACATGTGTGAAGATTAGTGTGCACTTGTAAATTCTGCCTCTTTTGCCGATTTATTTCTCATAGTAAAACGATGTAGTTACTTTCATAACTAACTAAAATATACCTGTTAGTTTGGCCTACGAAAAGAAAATGTTTACTAGCTACGTTGAAATACATCTATAAAATAACAGTCACACCGGTAGGCAACAAATTCACCATCCTAATAATTCATACGTAGCCATCTACCACATGCTGAACAAAACCATTGTCTAGAAAACAATCAAGATTACTACCAAAAGTGCAACAAACACTCTATTATGTATTCGGGAGAATCTGACAAGTCTTTAGTAAATTTTCAATTATCTGTAACTTACATTGTTTAGCTCTGGACCGAAAAAATAATTTGTATGATTGTGTGTTGTTTTGGTTCTATGTCTAGGTCCTCAGGGAATTTGTTTTCATTTTTAATTTCAGTTAATAATATTTTCATAAATTTTCAGCTGCATTTATGGGTTTTCATAACTGTGATAAATCCTCTTATCCCCTCTACAATCTAACCGTATTATGTCTTTCTACAGGCAGTTTACATTATTTATTATGACTCAAAGTGGTGTGGATTATAAAATAAACCAATAAACAGAATATATCTAAGAACGTTCAAGCTGCAACTTTACAAAACGCTTTAAATTTATGTGGACAATAGATACGTACATATTTTCTATACAAAAACATCATACTCGAAGACCGAATCTGATATGAATTAGACAGAAATGCATTACGCTGAATTCCCTGAATTTCCAATTTTATAGGTAGAGGATGGTGGTAAGTAGGAAGCAATTAATCGCATAATATCCGTTGGTGACAATAGGCATGCAGATGAAAACTTACCGAGATAAATGAAACAACAAATCTATGTTGATGTGTTCACCTAGTTGACTTGCAATGGAAAATTACAAGCATCAAACAACAACTCATGCACCCTGTACAAGAGCTGACCCCCATCTCTTAATGGGCCAGCCCATAGCCTTTTGGCGTCTGAAGTGATGGGCACCGAGTCCGAATCTCAGTGGACAGAAAATCTCCCAATAACGTACTGATACATCCAGCTGATGAGTTCCAGATAGGACAACACACGCATCCTGGATTCCACTGAGAGTCACCAAGATGAATGCAACATCATGAATATCTGGTAGTATCATGGCATCCTCACAAACACACTTGCTAACAGAGGTTGAGAAATTCGGCCCTGTGTACCAACTGGAATTTACGAGTATCAAACAACAGCAAGTTATACAAGTTTTGTCAAATTCTGTTTGTATACTCACTGACAAGACTGATATATTATGGCTTCATGAAAATTCTAGGTCATCACAAAATATGAACTACAGCAGTCCAGTGATGGAGATGAAGCTGTTAACAGTTGTTTACTCACGACAGAACATTATTGCTGAACAACATACCTAAGTAATGAGTCTTTGATTGCTACGTCATCTTATTTGCTTGTTTTAGTTCAATTCTCTTAGACAAGACACCACTTGTAGCCAGTGGGCTAGGGTACACGAAAATGTAATGCAATTCACATGACGTGAGCTTTCAACTCAGGTCGACATTTATAACTTTAATTTCTCGATGAAATGATAAAAACTCTAGTTCATCTACCATTTATTCCTTTTGTACAAGTTATTGAGAATTCTTGGTATTTAACTCATTGAAAGCTCAGGATCTTTCTTTCCCTTAAGGTTAGAATCTGTGATCATTGAATCCCTAATGAACGTCAGGTGTTTTGCCTGACAGCTGTTGCCATTGACTTGCGTGGACTAAGGATGCAAATTTTATAGTCTTTCCATCTACCTTCACTATTTGTATATTTAACATATCAGTATCCAATTTCAACCAAAGTGAAAATTCTTGTTGACTTTCAGCCTCAACATCTCTTGCCTTTAATGCAGGTGGTGTTAAACCATCTAAGCAGCTAACGAGAACATGATCGGTTTGAAAAACTGACCTCTCTTACTAAGTGAATTTCAGTTGCATTGCTGATTAGTTGGTCCCTAAATCAGAGATGACAGTTTATTTCTAAAAACCGTGAATATTTTACTTTAGGTCGTTGAATAAATAATGTTCTCAATTTCAGTTATTGATTTAAAATACAGAGTAGCAGATCACCTTAATAACTCAGGTCAGATAGTTTTATTTTATAAGGCAGCAACATTGAAAAGCGTTTATCATGGAGTATTATTCTGTCAGGCAAAACACCTGACGTTCATTAGGGATTCAATGATCACAGATTCTAACC